TTACAGGTGACAACAATGGTGCTGAATGTGGACTTACAGAGCTCAAAATGCTACAAGAAGGTTAAGAACCTTCTCTGCAAATTTTCTGGTGAGTCCTCCCTTTCTTCAATTAATATTGTTCTCTCCTAATTAAATAATATATAATTTGTTAAATATAATTTTTGTACATACGATATACGTATATCAATTTATGAATTGATTAGCCAAATGGACTGAGTCTTTGTGCTCTGAACAAATTAATTAAAGAAATACGAGATCAGGAGTATGATGAGAAGGCAAACAAGGTGACAATTAAGGTGGTGAGCTGCTCGCCGGAGAAGATCAGGGACAAATTATGCTGCAAGGGTGGTGGATGCATCAAGAGCATCGAGATCGTAAAGCCAAAGCCGCCTCCGCCTCCGCCTCCGCCTCCGGAAACGCATGTGAATGTATCTGTAGATCTGCAAGTCCAATGCGTTCAGTGTTATGGGAGATCCGTTTGCGACGGCTGGAGCGGTTGTGGAGAAACTCAACCAGGCTGCTCAATCATGTAAATACTAATAATAAGACTGTGTTTGGTATGCAGCCAAGTTAAATCCAATACTAAGTAACTGTTGTTTTACAAATTAGATTTAGATTTAGTTTGGAGATCAGTATTTAAAAAATTTAATTTTTATAAATATAATTAGTTAATATAAGATGTTTTTAAAGATATTGATGAAAAGAATTAGTCTCAAAACATATAAAAATTGATTTAAAAACATCTTAATTGTTAAAAAAAAAAAGTGTGTATTTAGTGAATGATGCAGGTGGGTTTTCTTTATTAGCAAAAATGTATGTTACTTTTGTCTCGATAATTCATCATAAAAAAAAATAAAAAAAACTACCGAAACTACTAATCAGTTTCTACATAAGTATGTGGTGAGGAAAGGGCGATGCCTGTTTTGGTCCCTTAATTTTTTATACACATTTTTTATACACATTTTTTATACACATTTTTATTAATTAGTCTATTAAGTTTATTTATATTTACATATTTTTAAATCCTTAACTTTAAGATTTTACATAATTTTTATCCATCAATTGAAAAGTTTAGTGATTAAAAATATGCACATATATTTATACTTTTACAGGTGA